TTTGTTAGTTGAAAAAGGCAATACAGAAGGAAGCCATTTAAAACGTCACCAACAAATATTTTTTATGTATATCCTAAACTTTTGAACATACAATTGTATTCCAAAAGGAACAAAATGAAATTTGAAACTAGAACTGAATTCCCCTACATTCCCAAGATTAATGGTATAGGAATGTTCATACTATGGACATAGTTAGCGCTTCTATTCGAGTTGATTATATTCATGGATGCACTCAATTAAGGTGCACCCAATGCTACAGTTTTGAATATTGCAAAATTTAAGTAATGTAAGTGTTAAAGTCTCTTAAATAATAACTTAGTGATTTTTTTCAAGTTGAGGTCGACATGATTCCTCAAACACAATCTATAGAGAAGAGCGCTTTATACTATCATGATCATCTCATTGAATACTACAAACAGATATAAACCCGCTTGAAAACACAGACTCACACTTTAACATCTTTCCTTATGAGTGTGAAACTGTAGGGATGTATCTGAAGTAAAAAGTTACCGACGACTGAATAAGTTTCATTTGCTATCACATAAAAATCAACAAATTGGAATGAAATGGTCAATTATATGCTTATGTGTAATGTGGAGACCTTACCCATGGGTCTAACCTAGTCACCTTCATCACTAGAGGATTATCTTTCCTAGTAGTTAATTAGACTCTTTTTGATTTATCCATTGCAAGAGATTTCCAGATAGAAGTCGACAGTATGACGTACATTTACTATTAATTGGATGACAGAAACATCGTTTTAACTTTTTCACAGTCTACCAGAAAATCATTTAGATACTCATATAGAGAAAGCTTAAGGCCACCTCCCCCCTCTCTCAAAAAATGGATCTCAGCCCAGGAACATTCAAATGACATGAAAATTTCAGGATATGTTGGGGCTGGTGAGACATGGCTATGATCAAATTTTCAGCCCTATAGCACAATGCTTAACTGAGATATGCACCAAACAAGGACCAAAAATGGCTCTTTAGTATCTCCAAGTTTTCTCTGTGGATCTTCATTCTAGGCATTTATTTTTTTTTGTTTGAAAGAGCATGTCAGAATGCAGCGACTCTCGTGGCTCTTTTCTTTAAAGTTTTACCTTTTAGTGGAAAAAAACGGAGCGCAAGTTCAATGACTCAAAAAAACCTCTCTAAAAATTGCGCTGCTCCGATATAGAGGTTATCTTCTATGATAATAAAAAAGCTTATTTTAAAAAAAGGGCCACGAGAGTCGCTAGCCCTGCACATAAGCTTTCAAACAAAAAAAATATTTGACTTTACCTCTTACTGCAATGGAGTTCTGCTGGAGATACGTCGTTGAACCGACGTTCTGGGAAAACCGAAAAATAATTTTCGGTTTTTTGTAAAAACGGCCTGTTTTTCGAATAGGGGGTGACGAAAATCTTCCGAAATTTTTGAATAAAAAGAGATGCTGAATAAAAATTTTTGTTGCATATGAAAGAGCAGATGATGGGCTATTTTTCCATGAATTTCCCTCAATTTCGATGATTCTGACGAAAAGTTACTTTTTGGGGGAGGTGGGGGGGGGGGGGGGGGGGGCGATGCGTTGCACGTAGAGCTGGGGGTTGGGGGGGGGGGGGGGGGGGGGGGGGGGGGGGGGGGGGGCTTAATCGTGATTCGATGAATCATTGTGACAAAGCAATTATTGATCTATCTCTCATGATGTACGCTTTTTAACAGAAATTAGCAGAATATCTAGAATTTAAACGAAATCAAAAAGTGTTCCATATATAAATGATACTATTTTTTAATTTTTGAGAGAAGGGCTTGCACATCTCCATCACAATCGACTTTGTCGAATAACTCTTCGATTTCGTCTTCTTCTTCATACTCAACAGTTCGGCAAAGATCTCATACAAAATAAGCACAGTCGAAGAAATAATCGATAAGAAAAAAGATACTGCATTTTATGCATTCATTCTTTTGTTAGTGTTTAGTATCATAAATTACAGTAGGGATATTACTCGAGTTATATCATAAGCGGTAATAAAAAAAAGAAATAACAATTCTTAGGAAGAGATCATATGTTGCATGTAATTATGAAGAATAGTGACGTAAAAGAAAAAGAAAATAAAGCAAATCTATAGCACAGAATGACAATGCAATTATTTCAATATGCAAGGCTGATGTCAGTTCTAAAATATTCTGATCATTTGCATTCTAAAGTTCGGTAATTGGTTTTTTGTCGAGTTGAAGTAGAAGAAAAATAAAAACTTAATACTGTGATCGATTTTCGTTTTACAATATGAGTTTAAGAGAGAAGTCTTTCAGCTCCTGAGTGATTAGGTTTGATGACAAAACATGGTATTCTTAAAATTGTATATAAATAAACAGTGATCGAAAAAAAATGGTTTGATCGAACTTAAAAGCTCGATTCGACGGTGTTTTTCTTATTTTATTTTATGGAATAGTTATCCTTGTATAAGCAAAATATATTAACTGAACGCTGAAAAACATCTGTGTTAAATTCAGATCTAAGAAAAGAGTTTGATCTCAATGTTAAGTTTTTATTTAGTGTTTGTATCAATCCGACCAAAATTTCGATGCTAAAGATTGCTACACAGAACATAAGATTCTATTTATTTGAAACGACAAACAGACCCCGCAAAAGTACGAAGGTGTAGGAGGCGTACACCCCTCCTTCCACTAATTGAAAAGTATTCATTTTTAGCCATCAAAATTAATGACGTTTTTGGAATTTTCTGCTAGAATATTCTGAACAAGATGTTAAAACTTTTCGCTTCGCGAAAAATAACAATTGTGTAACCGTAGTAATCTTAGAAAAACTTTCTACTTTAGTCAATGATTTCTTCAAAACAGCTGAATTTAGAATGATTTTCATCGGAGTGATCTTCTTCGACAACAAAAGTATTGAGAAATTTTCTAAAGTCGGACAAGAGTATTCTTGAAAATTTGCCAGAGAAAGTCGAATTTTTTTAAGAAGATGGCAAAAACTTGTTGCCTCGCGAAAAATTATTACATTTTGGTCACAAGAGAAAGATTATCAGCTCTGACGTAAAAGAAATTTTGCGTCTCTCAATATTGGCTGCTTCGCAACCTCCTTACACCCCGCCTCCCAATCCTGGGACCCTCACGTGGGGTCTGTCTGTGCCATCATTATGATCGCTTGTACCATACGTTGCTGGCAAGCAGACAGATAGACACAGGTGAATTTATGTTTCAAGACTCTCTTTTCGGTCTAGGAAAATTGTATTGAGTAGGTGATATTTGGTTTAAACAAAGCTCGAGAATATTTACTGACTTATCTATTATATTACTATATTTTTTCTAAAAATTGTGAAATTTACGTTTTTTGTGACCGAGTATGGATGTGAATGAGAATAATGGTCTTCTCTTCATCAACACCCTCATATTGAATTGATGATTGCAATCCATCTTTGAAAGGGACTATGTAATGCAAATGTAAATCAATATATGTCTGGCAGTTTTGACTTTACCTTCGTTAAAATTTTGGTTATTATGTTGGTTTATGAAATTATCATCAAAATCAACCTTAAATATTATTTTATCTTCATAATTGATTTCACATAAATAATGACTTATGTTTATTGCTGTTATTATTGTACTTCATCAGAATATAGAAAATCACCATCAAGATTTTCTGGCAGTACTTTTGAAACTGATTTTTAAAAAAAGAAGAGAAAAACGATGGCAAACAAATGAAATGGGTAATGTCATTTCAGATATAAATGAGAAATAAGAAATAGAAACACCAAAGAATTAAGATAGTGCAAGAAAAGACGAAGATTCACTAGTATCTCCTGACAGCCAGTAGGACAATGTCAAAAGTAGGATCAACACATTGTTCGAAAGTCGAAAAAATGATAAAACACGTGGTAATTAATGATGAAAAAGAAGAGACATCCAACGAGATGTACTCGGGAGAGCTGCATTATTGGAAAAAAAGAAGATATTTGTAAAAATGTTGAATCCAATATTGGGTGGAATAATCAATCAATGTTAGTTCTCTAGTAAAACAGATACCCACTCATACAATAATACGCATATATGTGATTATAAAGAAAAAGAATCAAGCTTGATTAGATGCCATTGTTATATTTCATTTGAAAAAAATTAATATATGAAAGCAAAACAACTTAATTTCCATTTTTTTAACAAATACATTTAATCTCTTTTATTTTTATTCTTGTTGTATAGAATTGATTAATAAATGGGGTTCATTGAATCCGTAGATTCTTTTCAACATTCATCATGATTGCAAGTAACTTCAATCGATTTTTTGATTCGGATAGCAATGTCTTACAAAATGGAAAAAAAACTTATTCTAAACTCGCAAATAACAGATCAGACTTTGCTAGAATAATTCTCTTTAATTATCATTATAGTTTTACACTTATTATTCAATTTTAATCGTATGACTACTAGACCTAAGTATTTCTATTAAGGTGTCAGTCCAGAAATATTTTTTTATTGGTTAGCCTGAAACACTCATTTGTCATGTATTATTCAAGATATTTACGAACAATATTTTTCTGAAAATTACATGTTTTCTCATCTGTATTATTAAGAGTCAAATGCACATACTTTACGTGAACGATCGATTACATTCATGCAAAAGTCACAATTTGTGGAGATTAGAAGCAAACTTTCAATCACTTACAAAGTATATTGTATGAGAACATCTACACTAAAAAGAAATATATTCAAGAAGTTTTAGATGCAAATATAATATTGAGAAACTTATGGTTATTATAAGATGTTGAAATGTATGAAGCATTTTGAACACTGATTTTAACATTGTTTAGTGCTATTCGTTTTGTAAATCTTGTAGATTTTTGAATTTAATTTAGAGTTTGTTTTTATTTGTTAAATAAACAAGAAAATGAAGAAAATTGATTATGTCTCAATCTTTTTCGTTCATATTTTATTTGTTCATAATTAGACAAAAGAAAAGAACAAATAAATTGAATTTATCTATCTCATGATAGGGATATATTACTGTTCTTGTTCGGTCCATCGACGTGTACGGATAAGAGCAGGAAATGCAATAGTATAAGGTGACTGGGATCCTTGGGTATATTTGGCCCATTTTTTGTTCCATTGTCGTTTTTCGTCCAACAGATCTGTATCAACATCATTTCCATGGTATAGACGATTAGTCAAGAGATAGTGAGGATTAACATTAAATCGTCCGAAGAAACCTGCAAGAGATCGTTTCTGTTCTTGTTGTTCCATATCTGTTGATGTTCCAGCTGCGGTGTTGACTGTATTCAAATATATTATTGTTATTAACATGATAAATATACCACACTGTGTAAACATTTTTTCAGTATATATGAGGTTCTAAACGTATGTATGTGTGCTTGGAGAAAGTAACTAAATGACAATGAAAGATCAACAAAATATGAAAAGAAGTAGAAAAAGAAAGAAGACAATTTTATTTTAAATTTCCGTTAGATGTCAACTGATAAAAAGACCAAAAAAAAAGAGATGAAGACACTTGAAGTTTAATTTGATGATAATCGACAGAAATAATCAATGCAAAAGTGTATGTGTTAGCGTAGGCTGATAATGAAAAACCATTTACGAATTTGACTGACATTGTCAGTCATTTGATTTCTTCAGGAAAAACATTGGAAAATTGAATATCTTCATTCATCATTGAAATAAATTACATGTCGTACAATTCGATAGAATTGTTTGAAGAAGTTTCATAATGGAAAACAATTGTATTTCATTCATAAAGAAAAAAATATATAGTATAATCAAGTTACATTGATATATCAGTTACGAACTTTTACAAGAATTTCAACATTAGCTAACTATAAATAGATAGTACTGACAAATGACTAATAAGTAAAACTGAGCTATATTGATGAAGAATTGTACAAGCCTATTAAAAAATCGATTTATCATCAAATGATTGTTTTGATAGCTTGAGAATACTTTCTTTTTTCAATAATATGAATGCTAAATTGTTTATATGAATAGTTTGTTCTATTTACGTTTTCGATGGATTCATTAGAAGAAAAAATATTGATATATTGCAGAAATTAAAATAATAGATGATGATAAATACTTATATAAAGTTGTAATTGCCAATCTTTTCTTTTCATATTTTTGCCATTACGAGCTTCTTTCGCTTTCGAAAATAATCACTCTTGTACAAAAATTTTTAAAAACTTTCTTGATTAATTATGTTTTCTTTCTCTTTGAATTATTTGGTATAATCGAATAAAACATGTTCATAATATCCGCTGAATGTTCTATGTCCTTCAGAAGTCAGTTTAGCAATCTTTTCATGCTAGATAGAAATATATTATGTTACTGAGCACTTTAAACTAATAAAACTATAGTATATAGATGAATACTTGTGACAATTCGAATTTTGATGATTTTTCATGATTTTCTTCTTTAATATTTTGAACAGCGGTATCTAAAAGATTATAGTAATATTTCCAAAAAAAAAACGTCATTGGTTGAAAGAATAATGGGCGAAATAATTGTTAAATAACTAAAGATGATCCGTGGTACATTGTTTAAGATAAGTAAATAGAAAAATAAAAACTGATAAGAAAGACAATCAAGATTGAAGATATGAAGTCTGTGAAATATTTTTAACGCAACTATGCTAATGGATAATTAATCTAATAAGATCTCGAATCGATTATAAAAATAGATGACTTAATTGATACGAATCTATTTAGTGCTTGTAACAGCAAACTATATATGAGTAAAAATCTATTTCTCAAAACAAAATGCATAAATAACTTTTGTCTTTATCTGATCAACTCCACTAATGAAGAAATTATTGTTTACATTATGAATAATGATCATCAGTTATTATTAGCGTCAAATGTATTGACTTAGATCAATAGATTTATACTTTTTCATATTCTGCCACACAAAATATGCCATCCGACATAAAATTATTTGAATGATGCAATTACTCATGATCAAATATTAATAAAATCGAATTCAATAAATAGCAAATATTGACAACATGTTGATGAAGATTTTCATTTTGTTTTCTTTTCATACACTGTTTTTTTGTTGTATGAAAAATAAATATTGATTGATTTTCTTTTTTCGAACCAACGCATTTTTTATTATTAAGCAAACAAGTATATTTAAAAACAAATATACAATTATTTTTCACAAGTAAAAAAAAATCATCTGCAAGACTTTCATGTGATTGAGTATTTAGATTGTCAACAACAAAAAAATATGCACCAAGTGCTCACATTGTACCAAACTAAGTGAAATAAAAGAAAAGTAGATAAATTAATGAGAGAACAATAGCTGACTTGTAATATAAATGACGTCATTTTTGTGTCAAGTGTTACATATGATGAACCTTTAGTCTAGAAAAGATAAACACATCAGTATTAAAAGGACTTACTATTGACACCCACCCAGTTCGATCCCAAATGAGATTGAAATGAGTCATTTGTGAAATCAAATTAAAATCGTATCATTCTATAAAATTAAATGATTTAACTAAATTATTAAAAAGAATAAAATACAAACCTTGATTACTAACTGTATAGTCAATAATTGTACTCGGTAGTGGATTTACTAATTAACGATTCTTACATGGATCACATGAAAAAAAGAGCATTTCCATGCTTCCTTACAACAATTATCATTTATTTCGGACTAAAAACAAAATCTTCATAAAAGAACTTACTTATAATCATCTTGCAGTTTTATACCGAGTTCATTCAATGTTGTTAATTCACCTTCGATAAAATTAAATAATGGTATATCATTAATGTCATCTCGAGAATAAGTTTTGACAGTTGAATACCATTAATTTGAAGAGATTCTTGTAGTGCATCTGTTTATTCGTAGATAAAAATCATCGTTAACAAAATACAGATAAAAAGATAGATTTTACCTTGCATGCATACTTTTAATTCTGAAACAAGACCTTTATTATTTCGCTTGTCGAGGGCATGTGAACAGTAATCTGTACACATTGAATTTACTGAAGCAACAACACCGACTATTTATGATCAACATGATGGATAATTACGATATGTATTAATACCAATGATCATCAATATTTTTTATTATGAAATCAAGCAAAAAAGATATAAACTGAGATGTACACTATTCATATTCGGCCAGTTTATCTCGCATTATTTTTGAATATCAAATTTTGTTGCAATTGAACTCGATTGACCTAATTTTTATAATGTTTTGCACGAGAGTATCCAGAAAAACAGAATTATTCTTTTTTTTTTCTCACATATAAATAAAAACACTTGAGATGGAACTAGATAATCAACTCATAAGACTTTTTTAATCATGCCATAAACGATCTTTTTGATTGTTATTTAAAATACAACAAATAAAATCTTTTTATACATTAATACTTTTTTAAATAGCTCGAATGAATCTTTCTGACCAAGCAATTTGTAGTTCAATCTTTAAAGTTTCATAGACGAATGAAACATACATCGTATTTTTTTTTAGTCTTACATTTCAGAAAAATTCACACGCATATCTAAACAAATAAGAAATAAATACATATGGAACAAAAATGAAACTAATCGAAAGTTTTGCATACTTTATAAAGAACATCGACAAATGAATGAACAATTTATGAATTACATTGATAATAAATAACAATCCATTTATGAAGATTTTTATGTGAAAGATGTGCTAATCAATACTCTTCACGAGACCTATCAGCTTCTAATGGACTATATCGAATTGTAACCTAAAAATTCTTGAAATAATTATTTATTCAATTATGTACATGAATGAATTCATACATCTTTATAAATAATTGGTCCTTTCTCGCATCCTTGTTTCATCAGAGAAATATCTTGTCTAATTGAATCTGAAATACCTTGAACATAAAAACTTCAATAACAAAATAGAGAAAAGACAAAATAAAACTATATCTGTCATAAAGGATAATTTTGGAATTAAACAGATTATTCCTTGAATTTCTTTCTTTGGACCACAGCTCACCAGTTCACTTACTTCCGTTAACAACAATTAACGGTTGTTGTCCATCGTTAATTTTTATTTGATATTTTTGAAAGTAATTTTTTCTTAAAATATAACAAAAGAAAATTTCTTTTTTTTAGCTTGTATCAAATAAAAATACTAATCGAAAATCTTCAAAAGAATAAAGAAGTGGTCTATCGAGAGCTAAATCTTTAATTCTAGTTTTAGCCAATATTTCTTGACGAATTTTTCTATAATTCGATCTATCGTATATCAATATTATACTGTTTTATTATTAAGATGATAAAAAAAACCTTACATCAGGCTCGAATGAATAGTAATATTGATATAAATTCTCTGAGAAGATAAATCTTGATATAATTAGCAACAAAAACTATTGCTTGTTCACTTTCACTTTTTCACAATTAATTATCAATCATCGAGTTTTTGGAAGCTTCAATACTGTTGGACGACTGTCATTATTATCTGTTGTCATAGACAAACCATCAAACTGTGTTGCTGTTGATGATATTGTCTAAAGTATACCTAATTAGATCTCTTAGAAAAAATTTAATCTTATCGATGATGTTGGACTTTTAGCACTTGTTATAACACTACTGCCTTCAAATGAAATTTAGTCTTGACAAAAAAAAACAACAGAATAAGTTTATGACGATGATCTAATAGGATTAACTTATCTTGATTTGAAGGTAATGTTGATCGATCAAGACGACGACATGATCGGACATATCTTCTTAAAAATATGCTATTTGCAGACGAAACTAAATGTATTGATTCTTTTCTCGTTGATACAAATAATTTTTTCGCAGTTTTATCCGAAAATTTTCCTTATCGTATATATTGTAACGTTCGAACTTAGGCAACATTCATTATCTGATTGATCTAGGTGAGTCTCGTCGAGTGTGGGTGTGAGTTTGGACATTCATTTTCTTTTGGTTCACACGCATACTCTCAATTTTATACATTTTCTCGATGTTTTGTAAAAATAATTGATTTTAAAATGATTGAATCTTATATAATATTGAAGAAAAAGACGCCTAGATATCTCTTCTTTCGACTGATGATAACCGTAATGCTATAGTTCTTTTCGTTCTTGAGCTACTCTAAAAATATTCACGACCATTATTTTTTTAAATAGGCATTAGTTTCTTCTTTTGGTTTGATAACTAGAGACCTGTACCTCGCATGAGCAAGAGCTCTGCTCAATTTTTTATTTGAATGTGAATTTATTCAAAAAATATTATTTTCTTGTATTTTGTAATCTCTTGCTTATGTCAGATTCACGTGTCAAGAGTTCCAATGTCGGTATACTAGGAAATTGAGGCTAGAACTTGACCTAATGTGTAGATTAATGTTGTATTCAGATGCTTATCGACGAATTGTCAAAGAGCAATGACGTTTCAATCAATATAATCATCAATGAATAAATCAAGCAAAGATTGGAGCGTTTATGGACAATTTTCTATCTATTGAAGCAGTTCTTATCTATAAAATCGTTCATAACTTCACGAATTCAAAGTTAATTTGTCTATTGACGATTGTATTCATTGAAATGTCATTTTTTTCTATCAGTTCATCAATAAACATCCGAATACAACATTGATCTATGCACTGGTTTGAGTTTTAATATCAGTTTCATTCTCCATCTTAGTTTGAATACTAACATGTACTACTATTGAGACTAGAGAGATATAAAAACAAATAATAATGTTTTAGATTTTATTATTTTCTATGCATACAGGACGCAAAATTTTATTGATTTGAAGACACGTTTTTATTTTTGTTGATTTTTCTACAAATTCGAAATAAAAGGCAAAAAATAAATTCGAGCGCGTATATATTTTTAACCATGAAATTAGTAAGGTAAGGAAAATATGCAAAAAAAAAAGAAACTTTTAACCAATCAAAAAATGAATTCGAAGAATAGATATATACATAAAAGAAAACTCATCACGTTCTGAAAAAAAAAAGAAATTAACGATGTGATGTCATATGACGTGTTAAATGATGTCGTTCTCGAAATGTTTCATAACAAATATGACAAGTAAGATTCATCGATGATGCTGAATTGGTAAATGTTTTTCTTGTTGTTGTTGTTTCTGTAGATATTTGATGATGATGATAATTACGTCGTGTTGCATGATGAACACGAATATGATGAACTAATTCACTTGTAAGACGAAATTGTATTGAACATTTAGCACACCAATTTGATGCATTCGCTAATGCTGCTGTTGATGATGATTGTGATAGATGATGTAAAGCCATTAACCATGGATTAACTGATGATATTGATGTTGTTATAGGTGTTTGACAAATTTTTGATGATTCATTTGTTGATTGAAGGACATTAGCAATACCAAATGGTAATGATGTTGATTCAGATCGAAATACTTTTGATGATAATTGTCGTGATTGATTTGAATCATCGTCTAAAATATAAATAATTTAATTAAAAAGTAGTCTATTTTCAAAATTATTATTATTATTATTATTTTAGCTTTTAATTAAACGAAAGACAAATCATTCATCTGACTTTATATTCTTTTTTAAATTTATAAAGAGTTTCAAAGATGATTTACATTTGGAAATATTAGAAAATTCAATTAAACGAAAATAATTGTCTATTTTGTATAACATTTATATGCATATGTATACATAAGAAGAATAGATTTATAATAATTGTTCTATATGGATTTTCTACTAAAATAAAATAAACTAATCCAGATTGTAAGTGTTTTATTCAATGTTTAACCGATAAGATTGTTAAGTGTCTTTCATATAGATCTCATTTCCATAATAGAAAAAAAGGACAAAAAGAAAAATGTTTTCATAAATATTTTTATTTCTATTCAAAAAAACGAAAAATTTTCTTCTTGATGTCCTTGAAAATCTCACCTTGTTTTCTTTTATTATTTGTCATTAATGTTGTCTGATCATGATCGTCGTTGTTAATATTTTTTTCAATCGATTCCATCGAATTCGATAATCTTGTCAATCTGCGCGCTCTCTATATTAGTGATGATGTACCCTATGTTGCTAGTTGTATTACTGATGCGTAAAAAACAGCTCGACTTGCCAACCAAATCGGCTTAGATGAAGAGAAGAAGGAATAAAAAAAATGTGTCTTCTCTCTGTCTCTTTATCGTCTTCTCCCAATGGGACTCATCAATAATGATGATGATGATGATGATCGCAACAGTCCGTTTAGTAATCTGTTCTTCTTCTCGTTCACTCAAGTCTAATGCAATCACTTTGTAGAGAGAGAATTCCCTGTCGTTGACTGCAAGAGCAATCACATGAGAATAATTACTAAGACACACACACACACACACACACACACAACAATCAGCTTTTACAAGACTAAAAAACGGCATATGATTGAACCGATCGACCATCGTGCGTATATTCATTTTCAACGAGTAGTCTTTTGGGAAATTGTTTTCAAGAATAGCTAAGCAATCAATGTCAAGTTGTTTTGTACACATAGAATTAAACAGATATTTTTTTGATAATTTTTAGTTTCAATTAGTTTTTTAAATAAGAAAATATTTAGACCTTTCAATATTCAAAAATATCAATTGTGGATAGCTTTTAAAAGTTTGTTTTATCTTTGTTGAAAACTTGAATTCAAAAAATTGATCAGATCAGTTAAAATTTTATTAATATTCTGTTGTTGTTTCCTGTCAAGTAATAAAAAGAATAATACGAGATGAAATACATTTTCATGAGAATGAAGATATATCGATTTAGATAAATAAAAAGAAATACTTACACTCAAGAAAAAATGATGTATCATATGAAACATAGAACAGCGCTATCAAGATATTTCTGTATTGGAAAGCTTTCAGAAACAGCCTCGAAAACTTTTTCGACTTAAAAATATGCCAAATTCCTTTTTTAAGTTCCTTATAATAAAGATTTCTTCTTCTTTCTGAGAGTGTAGTTTAATGACTAATAATCATTCATATTTCATTATTTATCGTTGTTTTACCTATTTGTAGAAAACTCATTTTTCAATTAAAAAGAATGAATTGTAAAAAATTATTGATGTTATCAAAAAATTTCTTTTAATAGATTTTAATTTCTATTTTTCGAGTGAATGTGAAAACATTCGTTTTCTCTCCATTTTATTTTAACAAAACAACGAGAGAAAATCACAAAAGTTCTTGTTTTATTTGGTGTTATCTACTGTTTTGTTTATTTATTCATTGTCGACATTAGCAGTGAGTAATCCTAAATAAGAAAAGAAAAACAAAAAAAAAAACAAAGGATTTCAGATATTGATTAGAAGAAAAAATTGAGACAAACCTTTAAATGAAGGTACTCGAACAAATGTAACCAATGTATAAAGTTTATGTGGTGAATCTTCATCTTCATTACGTTGTCGAGCTAATCGAACTCGAACACGATAAGGAACATGACTAAAGAAAAACAAAATTTTACACAAAAATAGATTATGAATAATGAACTAACTTGATTCCTTGTGACCAAATTTCCTTATTTAATTTTGAATCGATACGAACATCAGGTGTTTTCATCATTTTTTCAGCAAATTTTTTTAATTCTTTAACTGCACGTGGTGCTCGCTTCTTGAAAGCTCTATTTTCAACATAAATTAAAGCATAAATATTCATAGAAAATTTAATTCAGCTTACATGCCATGCAATCGTTTATGTAAATTGACCGTATATTCGCGAGTAACAACTTCATTTGTTATTTGTTTTTTGCTACCGCCACTTTCACCTTTTTTACCTTTTTTATTGGCCATTTTGAAGATCAGTTGTTTTTATAATCTTAAATAAATTTACATCCCTCAAATTGTTAATAAAAAAACTCATTTTAATTCACACAGTTTCTTTGTCGTTTCAATAGATAAACCAAACAAATACAGAAAGAAAAACACAAATTAGACATCAAAAATAGAAGCAAAAATTTTTGGATGGACTACGCTGCTAAAATAATTAAGAAATAAATAAATAAATATATATATATAAAACATATACATTGAAAACAAGGATAACTTGCACAGTTTCAATAATCGAGAACACAAGAAAATAACCTCTATTATGTTTCTTATTTTCTGTTGGTATTGCCACTCAACAGGTGATTCCGATCGTTATTAAGTAAATTTGCTGGAGTATCAAGTGGCAAAACGACGTCTCTACTAAAATAAAAAAATTATAGAATAATAAAATATAAAAATATGCTGAAAGGTTTTTTTATATTAAGATTTTCCTATACAAAAATTCCTTTCGTTGTATTTATGATTTTTTTCCAATCCCATCAGAAATTCCAATTTTCATTCATACTATAACGATCTCTATTTCTATCACAACTAAAACTCTTGTCGAAATATGAACAATAAAAAAAAATTATACTACATACGTTGGATTTCTAGATTGTTCTTGTAAATCTTCAAGTAGCATACTATTTATTTGATAACGAACTCCATCACCTCGTCTACACAATAAAAAAATTCAAATTGAAATTTTAATAAAAGGAAAAATTGTAAAATTACGTTGTATATATTGGTATTAATGCTTGAAAAAGATTAGAGCCAAATATTTCTTGAATATTTTGTTTCCAACCTAAATCAAAACCATCTTTGTTAGGTACATTGGCAAATACTGGTGCTCGATGTGATTCTAATAAAAAAAAATTCATGATAAAAATTTTTGTTTACAAAAAATCCAAAATAATATATTTACCCACTGTCGTTCGATTTTTTTCAATTAAAAATAAATGATAAAAGAATAATGATGATACACTGACACCAAAGACAATAGCAATAAAAAATAGAAAGAGCAAATGAAATTTTCCGCTTCTGGATATTGAACTATGTTCATTCTTAATTCAACAAATATAAACATTTAAGTTAAATTTTTTTTTTCTTTTTTAGCAAAAACATACTTTTTCTGTATTAGACATACTCTAAAATCAAACAAAACAAAACTAAGTCAATAAAGAATTTTAAAATCGAAAAAAATTTTTTAACCTGCCAAGCAAGAATAAAATATTCAAGCGATGTTGCCGAAACATAAAGACAAAAAATTAATGCCCAACCAAGAAATAAAATAAAAAATTTATAATTTCCATATGAAATACAACTATTTGTCCTTAAAATAAAACTTAATTAGTTTTTTTTTTCATTTAAATAGAATTTTTTTTACCATGGACAATGATGATCATATCGAAGAACACATTTTTCACATACTGAACAATGATGAGCTCGATCAGGTTTTATACATTTACATATCGAACAATAACGAATACCTTTTAAGAAAATTATTTTTTTTTCTTTTTTCATCAATTAAAGTCAATTTCATACTTCCATCAAAATGTCGTGTTAATACTGGTAAATTTGCTTGACGAGAAAGACGAATAAGAGTGGCACGTCGTTCGTTAACTGTTTGCGTTGCAGCAATACGTTCACCTTCAACTTCACCAATATAAAACTAACAATAAGAAAAAAAAACGATCCTTTCTTTTTCAATATTAAATTTCAAAGAACTTTACCTGTCTCGTTGGTCCCACTAGAGGTGTAAATACTGTTCGATAATAGGACCACAAGAAAAGAAGTAATAATATATGATAAATGCATAGATAAATCACTAAACATAATCATTATCTTTTTTCAAATAAATAACCTATAGCAAGAAAAAGTCTTTGATCAAAATCTTCGCTCATTTTTCAGTCACTGCAAGACAACTGGCTTGAGTTGGTTAGAATCAAAAATTTTCATTCTTTTCATTCTGTACAAAATAAAATATTACCATAAGTGAAATCTCATTTTACTAAAGATCTAGTTTCTATGGAAATCGACATTGGTAGAAAACCTGTTTTACATCTTGAATTTGATAGATTGTAATTAAAATACAAAATTGATCAAAATAGTATTATGTACAATCACTATTTTGAAACAATCTGATGATAGTTGTTCAATCCTACTCAGGAAAAAAATTTTGAAGCCCGATTGTGAAAGAGCAAAGAAGTCTGAGTCTAATGCATTGCTTTTGACTCTAACCAATTGCCTTTAAGTGACTGAAACGTGAGTAAATATTTTGTGCTAAGACTTTCTTGTCATAGTTTAATACAAAAAACCAAGAAGTTATTTTTACCTTTTTTAGGAACACTATCAACAGTCACTAAATTATTGAAAATAGTATTTTAAAAATATTCTCTATACAAAACTTACAAATACACATTTGTACAACATAAGCATAATAAGACCATCCAACAATTGCAAGAATAAAAATGACTGGAATCCATTTTAATACTTCACAACAGCACATACTTGGCGTTCGAATAGTCATTGTACAACCTAAACAATTATTTAAATTTTAATTTTAATCTGTTTTTTGTTTGTTTTTGTATTTAAAAATACATATAGACCAATAAGAGTGAATAAAACACAAATAAGTGGATGAGAAGTTGTTTTTATTAAAGAGCAGAGTAGAAATAAAAATTCGAGCACTTACACAAGTTTTTAATTCTCGAGATGTACATAAAATATACGGATTGTAAATCTCGTTGGTTGTCATTTATCAATAAATCATTGGTAGACTAACATCAAAATTACAGAGGAGAAAAAGAATAATAATTGATCATCTTTGACACACATACACACACAAATACACAACAAAACTATTCATTTTTTATTAAACGTACTTGTTCAATATGTTGATTTGAAGAAAGAAGTGGCTCTAATACAAGATTTTCATTCTAATTTAAAACAAAAAAAAAATATATAAATTATTATGATAAATTTCTCTTCTAGATATTCTATCTCATGATGTACATCTGTTACAGTTGTTGTGGAAGAAAAATAATTATTATTATATTTCATTGAATGTTAATTTCGTGCATCATAATCCAATTTCTTCTTTTTTTCTCTTGCTTTCTTCTTTTACTATTCAAGCAAAATACGAGCAAGTTAATCTAGATATAAATTAGTGAATAATAAGAAAAACAACTTAGAAATCTAATGAACATCTATGTCTATTGGAATAAACGAATCGATAGAACAAATATTTATAAACAACATAGGTATTCATTCCGATGGATTTATGCTACATTTTACCGAGTATCACATATGAACTTCAGATTAAATTATATTTTTTTAAATTAATTTTAAACAAAAATAAAATATTTTTGTTTTAAGAAAAAATTAACAACGAAAAAATAATAAAATAATTAATGAAAAATATTCCATATTGATGTCACTAGTGAGAAATACTATTAAAAATAGTTATATTTTCGTAATCATAGTACGTACCCTCACCCGAAAAAGCACAATGAAAAATGTGAATCAATAGCAAATCTTCACGGATTGGTGCTTGCATTTTTGACATGGGCCCGATACAAGTTTGATCACATATTGTAGGGAAAATTTTTCTCTATCGAACTGCGTTTTNGATGTTTTCCTAAAGGAAAAACTGATGGAGCTTTAGCACGTACAGCTCAGTTATGTTTAAGTGGACAATTTGTTGGAATGTGTGGAATTGTTTATTGTTTTTCACGTGCTGAATGTGAAAAAAGTGCTGCTTATTTAACGAAAAGTGGTGTTACAGCACAAGCTTACCATGCAGGTTTAGATGATCAAGATAGAACTGATGTACAAACAAGATGGGCTAATGATGAATATCAAGTAATAGAAAAAAAAATTTTTAGAAAAAAAAAAAAAAAAAATTTCCTTTTATTCAAAAGGTAATTTGTGCAACAATTGCTTTTGGAATGGGAATTGATAAACCAAATGTTCGTTTTGTTATTCATTTATCAATGCCAAAATCAATTGAAGTTTGTTTATTTAATTTAAATAAAAGTAATTTCAATTATTTATAATTTAGGGTTATTATCAAGAATCTGTCGAGCTGGACGTGATGGTGAACAAGCATATTGTTATCTATTTTATAGTTATCAAGATTTAGTTAAAACAAAACGTTTAATAATGAGTATGAAATAAGAATTTCTTTAAATAAAAAAAATATAATTTTAAATATCCTTTTTTTTTAGCTGAACAATCAGCAAATGCAACACGTGAAGCAAAAAAAGTTCGATTAGCTAATCTTCATCGTGTTTATGCATATTGTCTTAATAATGTTGATTGTCGTCGAACATTATTATTGGAATATTTTGGTGAACAATATTTATCAAGTCAATGTAAAAAACATATTGAAACACGTTGTGATAATGTTGTAATGTTGGACAAACTAAATTAGTTGATTTTACTATATTATCTAAACATATTATTTCATTAGTTGATCAACTTACTAAACAATTAAAAACAACAACTATTAATCAAGTTATTGATATATTAAAAGGAAGTAAACAAAAAACTATTAAAGATGCTGGATATGATAAATTAGAACAATTTAATATTGCAGAAGAAGTTTCAAGAACAAGTAAGAATATTATTTTATTTTTAAAATGTAAACTTTTCAATAGAAATAATCAGAATTTTTCGATAAAATGTTTATTCATTTTACGTGAAATCTCTGAATCTTTTGTTATTTTTTCGAAGTTTTATATAAAACATATTTAATATTAGATTTAGAACGTTTAATATCAAAATTAATTCTTGAAGATTATCTTCATCAAGATATTTCAATAAATGATACATATGGTACAGCAAGTGCATATATTCGTCTTGGTAAAACAACAATATTTTCTATTCCAATAACATTATCAGTTTGTATAAAAAAAGAAAATCCAAATGTATCATCAACAATATCAAAAAATTCTACACGTAATCGTCTTGTTGATGCATGTCTTATGAAATTAAAAGATGAACTTAAATTAATATCATCTCAATATAATATTAAATATTCAACAATATTAAGTGAAAAAGCTTTAAAACAAATGTCATTAATAATGCCACGAACTAAAGAAGATATGTTTAAAAAAAACAATTGAAATGACGAAAATAAAATATGATATGTATAAATTAGATAGACTTTTAACAATAACTTGTTTATTTGGTTCAAAATTAGATGAAGAAAAAAATGATCAATTTAAAAATGGTGGTTTAAAACGTAAAAGAGAATTATCAATAACAACAACAACAAGTAGTTATTTTCAAGATAAAAAAAAATTCAATTTTGAAGAAAAGAAAATGATTATTATTTCTTATTAAATTTTGTTTTTGATTCTGAACTTTTCCTTTATGAAAATTGAAAACATGTTTTTTTTTAATATTATTTTTGATTAATAACAAATTATGGAATATATTTTTGAATTTCATTTAAAAAACGAAGATAAATAAGAAGTGTTAATGATTGATTATTTATATTTAATATTGAAATTTCTCGTTGTAATGTATGAAACATTGATTCACGATTAGATAAACACATTTTATATAATTCATGTAAAAATTTTCCATTCATTTCACACAATATTGGTAAAAGAGAATTAAGATTTTTTGATATTAGAAATAATTTAACATCATCAGTTGTCCATTGATCGATCTCAAATGAATATTCACTAGAAATAAATACAAAATTAATTAGAAAATTCGAAATAAAATATTTACTTGTTTGTTAGAATTACTATCGAATCAGTTTTTTGATTTATTTTAATATATTTTCTTCGAAGATCAATTTCATTTTTTAATTTTATTTGTGGTAACTCAAAATCAAATTTTGTAAAATCAATATTAATTGTTCCATTAGTTATACGATTTAATCAACCATCTGGACGATAACTAGATGTTAACATAATAGGAATTATTTGATATTGACGTTCAAATCCATAAAATGCTTTAATTTTATAAGAACTATTTTGTTTATGTTTCCGACATACATAGAAGAATATATTTACATTCATCGATTATTTCATATTTTTCATTCATTGATGTATCAAATGTTTCATCTTGATCAATCCAAACTGGAAAATTATCTTGATTAGTTGATTGTAAATACGAAGACATCTATATCTGAACTTGAAAAGTATAACATAATATCATATTTATAATTACTCTTTTCACATCTTGATTTTG